ATCCCCATCCCCATCCCCATCCCCATCCCCATCCCCATCCCCATCCCTGAAGAAGGGTCTAGGCCCGAAACGTCAGCTTTCCTGCTCCTATGATGCTGCTTGGCCTGTTGTGTTCATCTAGCTCTACACTTTGTTTTCTCAGATTCTCCAGCATCTGCAGTTCCTACTATCTCTGTCTCAAGTTGTTTCCTTGTGCAAATGAAAACATATCAACATTGAAGTGTTAAGCAAATTTCACAACACATATAGCGAGAACAATGGCAAATATTAATACAGCAGTGAACATTGTGCTAGCAAAGACTTTACTGGTGTCACACAGCTTTTTGTTTCTAGCCTCGTTCACGGGCATCATGCCAAGCGATGAACTGCCAGCACTGGCAGCAGACTTAAGTTCAGTAGCCAGTTCTTGCTTCGCTTCCACAGTCCACTGAAGTACATTCACCTTCATCTCCATATCGTACATCATTTCCCCGATTTCATTGATATCTTGCTCCAAGTCATTCAGATCGACAGTGTCTATGTCGTTGCCCTCTTCGTACTTCATGTTCTGTACACTCATGGCACGGGCAGCCACAGCAGATGTCCCCCCAACCATGCCAGTCTGGATGAGGTGTTTTGTGGGAAGGTTCAGTGGAAACTCCTGACCCAGATCCAGAGCTTTTCTCATGTCAATCTCCAAAATCTCCATGCATGTTGAAAATACCACCCACAGCCTTTCGAATTCAGCTCGGTCATCCTTGCTGATAGTTTTGTCTTTTAAAATAGTTGTTAGCTTTGCTTTGTTGGCAATTGCCAGGACCTGTGCCTTTTGTCTGGTTTTCTTCAGTTCTTCGCGTAAATTCTGAGAGTCTGATGACCCACCAGCACAGATGACCAAGTGTCTATAGCAGGCAGACACTTTGTTAAGGGCATCTAAAAGGGTCTTACATTCGTCCTTCACCATTGCGGTAGTACATATAGTCAGCGGAGATCCTTCAGAACAGTTTATACTGATATCATGTGCGGATTTAGTTCTACAACATCTGTGCAGGGAAATATGAAGTGAAACCTCAAAGGTACTCCACAATTATCCAACTTGATCCACAGCTAATCGTTCATCCATATGACATATCTGGCGTTACTGTCTTCTTGCCGTCTGTCGATTTTACATCAACTTTCTAAGTTACTGTGCCTGAACATCCGACGCGGATTACAACACTTTGTTTAAAACATGTTGCCTCAAGTAACAGCACGCAAATATTGAATAATATTCGCAATTTTTGTATAAATCCGTTATCGCCAACTACCTAGGCTGTACCAAGTTCGCAGTCTGCTCACGGACTAAATACCATGAATACCACACAGACAGCACCTTATCACGTCACGTGTTCTTCACACCAGGAAGTGAAACCTGTTCCAAATGTTTCCATTTGGTTTCGTCTGCCGGTAAGAGCCCGCCCTTAGGGCGGTGCTGATTGGTTGAGAGGCGACTAGTGGAAGGCGATGTTGAGATCTGACTGGTTAGTAGACTTGTCAATGACACGAATGGCAACATTGTTTCCGCTGACAGGAAGGGAGAACGAAGCTCTGCTAGGAAGTTAGACACCAAATGAGAGTGAAATGACCCAGTTTATGGGCGTTTGGTGAGTACATTGCCTGGCCTTCCAAGTTAAGGCGCTAGAGGAGTCGTGTATATATTCAAGTTGGTGGGCTACCATCTTAGACTAGGGTTTACTTTGGCTAAATTAGATTCTATCAGAGAGGCCTGCTTACGTTTCATGTATTTATTTATGGTGGTAGCGTCGCTGGTTTATTTTATGTTTAAAGCGGCAAGTATGTGGGATGTGGCATCAGCTTGTATCCTGGGAAAATCCAGATTGCGCGTGTGTGCAATGTAGCAGAAACTTTAACAGAGAAAATTAGGTATCTAATTCAGGAAATAAAAGGTATTTAATGCTATTTAGTGGCCTCATTATTAGTAAATTATGTCGATTGCCAAGTTACAATGCGTAATAAAGCTAATTTATTTTGGAAAAAGGTGAGGGTGATTTCCATTTAAATTGGAGAGAGACCACGCTTGATGTGAAAAATAGAATCTATTGAGAACCGAACACGAACGGGTATGTTTATTTTCTCAATGTCAGTTACGTAATAGAAAATGATATGACCAATTAAGGCGGTATTTCTTTTCTGAATTACTCGTAAGATGTCAGCTTTGACTTAGTAATGTCATCTTGTGTCAGAAAGTCCTTGGTTCGATACCACTTCAGCGATTTGAACACACAGCCTTGACTGAAGCTAAAGTAATACTACAGTATTTGAGGCACCAACTTTCAAATAAGACCGTTCAGTCGATGGCCTTTCTTCCGCCAAAATAGCTCCGTGCAGAAATTTGAAGAGTAGCATTCTACGTTATACTTACCCGTCAACTACGATAACTGGACGCGCAGATTATCTACCCGAGTTTATGTCACGGCCGAGTGTGGGGATCTTGTTACGTGTGCTGTTACTATTATACACAATAGACTGCACTTCAAAAGGACTTGATTGGCTTTGAAGCACTTTGAGATGTCCAGTGGTCATGAAAAGTATTAAGTCAGCAGGGGTTTGTTTGTATCAACGCTTTCTGAAGTAGTATTATCCTTTTTTTTTATTAAAATTCTCCAGTTACAGACACAGCTGTACAGCCTGGAAACAGACCCTTCGGTCCGACTCGTCCACGCCTACCAGATATCCTTAATTAATCTAGTCGTCTTTGCCAGCATTCAGCACATATCCCTCTTAAACCCTTCCTATACACATACCCATCCAGATGCCTTTTAAATGTTGTTATTGTACCAGCCTCCACCACTTCCTCTGGCAGCTCATTTCATACAGGCACCACCTTCTGTGTGAAAAAGTTGCATCTTAGGTCCCTTTTTAAATCTTTCTGCTCTCATCTTAAACCTATGGTCTCTAGTTTTGTACTCCCTCAGCCCAGGGAAAAGACCTTGGCTATTCATCTTATCCATGCCCCTCATGATTCTTTTTTTAAACTTCTGTAAGGTCACTCCTCAGCCTCTGACGCTCCAGGGAAAATAACCTCAGCCTATTCAGCCTCTCACCACAGCTCAAACCCTCCAACCCTGGCAACTTCCTTGTAAATCTCTTCTGAATCCTTTCATGTTTCACAACATCCCTCCAATAGCAAGGAGGCTAGAATTGCACGCAGTATTCCAAAATTGGCCGAACCAATGCCCTGTACAGCAGCAAAATGACTTCCCAACTCCTATACTCATTGCACTGATCAATAAAGGCAAGCATACCAAACACCACCTTCACTATCCTGTCTACCTATGACTTCACTTTCAAGGACCTATGAACCTACACTCCAAGGTCTGAATGTTCAGCACCTCTTCCCAGGACCTTGCCATTGAGTGTATAAAGTGCTGCTCTGATTTGTCTGTCCAAAATACAGCATCTCACGTTTATCTAAATTAAACTCCATTTGTCACTCCTCAGGTCATCTGATGAGGATAACTTCATGGTCCACTACACCTCCAATTTTGGTGTCATCTGCAAACTTACTAACCATCCCTCTGATGTTTACATCCAAATTATTTACATAAATGACAAAAAGCATGTAGCACCTATCCTTGTGGCACACTGTTGGTCGTAGGTCCCCAGTCTGAAAAACAACCCTTCACCACCACCCTCTGTCTTCTACTTTTGAGCCAGTTCGGTTTAGATGTTTCATTATTCTTTCAAAACAATCTCACTTTTTGGACTTGAAAGATTGATAAGTCTTCTGTTCAGGAATCTGAGATTATGTCCCTCTGCTGGAGGACATTTGATCTCTTGGATGGCCTTCATGAAGGATATCGTTCCTGCTAAACTAGCAATTGGTTTATTACTTCAATTAGCCCATTAATCTTCTGTATTTCCTTCACAGAGGAAGTCTTTCCTGCTTAAAGAAGTATTTCCCTTATAACATAACATCATTTATTTGGTAAATTTAAATAATAGTTTTGAATTTAAAATAGAACATGTTCCTTGTAGCAATTTCAATTTGCAAATTGAATGGTGATTTCCTGTATGCATGTTGCTTTATGTGTTGGGTTCTGAGATTTATCAAAAGACAAATTTGTCTAAAAGACGTTTATAACCATCACTTGTATCTGATATACCTGAAAGCAAAAGCGAGGCAGGGAGAAGAAAAGGCATTTTCCTCTAAACCAAGACTGGAGTGTGTAGGTTATTTGGAACATTCTAGTTCTCTTGGTTATTTGTTATACAATTGATATTTGTTTCCCTCAGATTCCAAAACCAGCTTTTGTGTTGGCTCTTGCTGTGTTGACTCTCATTGCTGTCATGTAGCTATATAAATAGACTTAACTCAGGGAGATTGTTGAAGGCAGTTTTGTAGTGCAGAAAGGGAGTTTGAGATTTCTTATGGCCTTTAACAACATCCCAGAGTAATTGTAAGTGATTGTCATATTGGACAATCAGAATAGTCACATTCCTGAGACATTGACTTATTGATATGTAGGACTCCGATTGAAGACTTAAGGTGAATGTGGATAGTGGTAGGGAAGGTGAGGTTTGGAGATCAGTGATAGTACTTCTAATGTTGAAGAGCGTGAGAGTAGAGTTCGGAAAGTGACAGGGTCTCTAACTATTCTTCACCCTAACTTTTAATTTGTTACTCTGTATTTTCAGTTCCGTTTTCACCAAGCTTTTGCCAGGTTATTTTTTCCTTTGAAACACACCTACTTACTACTCCCCCGATCCTCCTTCTGAATCAGTACCTCGAACCTCAACTACCCCTCCTCAACCAATGCTTAGTAGTATTGAATGTCCCCTCCATTCAGTCGTTGTTTTCACATAATCCCCTCCACCCTTGCCATTGAAACTGTAGTAGTTGCATTTTAAAAAGAGAACTTCTGCCCTGGCATTCATTCTGACTGCAAAACTATTAACATCTTTGAATTTAACTCCATATAATGTTATACAGTCCATTGTCATAGCTGAGCAAATAAATAAATGTATTCTTGCAGGCTAAATCAGAAAACATACATCTGAAACTTTTTAATCCCTTTGAGGTTATGGTGTATGATGCATAGAATGCATTAAAAATACTTCCCATTACTATTTTGAAATGTAATCTAGAAACTATGGGCAGGAATAGGCCATTCAGCCCTACGAGTCTGCTTTGCCACTCTTGACTGATCCTCTGTCTCAACATCACTTTGGCTCCATACCTCTTGATTCCTGTAATATTGAAAAGAAATCAGTCGCTTTCTTGAATTTACTCAGTGACCCAGTCTTTACAGACTTCTGTTGTAGTGAATTCCACAGTTTGATCACCCTGAGTGAAGAAATGTTACCTCATCTCAGTCCTTAATGGTCCACATTGTATCCTGAGACCGTGACCCATAGTTCTAGACTCTTCGAGCAGGGGAAACATAATCCCCACATTTGTTTTCACTAGCCCTGTTGGAATGTTATATGTTTCAATCAGGTCCCCTCTTATCCTTCGAAACTCGAGTGACTACAGGCCCAGTCAAACTAATCACTTCTCATAGGACAGTCCTGCCATCCCTGCTATCAGCCTAGTGAACCTCCACTGCACTCCCTCTACAGCAAGTATATCCATTCTTGGATAGGGAGACCAAAACTTCACATAACATTCCAAGGTGTGGTCTCATCAAAGTCCTGTATAACACCAGTAAGATATCTCAACTTCTGAACTCATCCTCTTGTAATGAAGGTCAATATACCATTTGCCCTCCTAATTGCTTGCTACACCTGCCTGTTTATTTTCATTTGACTGGTGTACAAAAACACCCAGATCCCTTTGTACATCCACTGGTCCCAATATCACCATTTAAATACCACACCAAGCTGCGTAACTTTATATTTATCCATGTTATACTGCATCTGCTGTATGTTTGCCCAAACACTCAACTTGCCTACATCACCCTAAAGCATTTTTGCATCCTCCTAACAACCACAAATGCAGCTACTTTTGTCGTCAAACTTTGAGAGAACCGAATGCAAGATTTCAACCAACTCATTTTTTGTACATCGTGAACAGTTTTTGCCCAAGCAGTGATCCCTACAGAATACTATTAATCACCGCCTGCTACCTGGAAAAGACATTTATTCCTGTTTTCTGTTTCTGGCCTGTCAACCAATTCTCAATTCATGTCAGTATATTGCTCCCAAACCCTCTTAATTTTACCCACTAGCCTCTTATGTGGGACTTTATCTTGAAATCATACTTGAAATCCAAATACAAATACAGCACAATACACTGTTTCTGCCTTTGTCTATTCTACTAGTTACCAATTAAAAAAGAACTCCTGTGGATTAACTAAGCATGATTTCCCTTTCAAAAAACCATGCTGACTTTGTGTAATCCCATTAATGCTTTGAGTGTTCTTTTATTACATCTTTCATAATAAACTCGTAACATTTTTCCCACTACTGATGTTAGGCCAATGGGCCTGTAATGCTTTTTTTTTGCTTTTTTTTTTAAAAATAGTGGGGTTACGTTTGCAGCCCTCGAGTCTCTATGAACTGCTCCAGAGTCTGTACAATTTTGGAAGATGACTATCGATGCATCCAATATTTCCAGGGTCATTTCCTTTAGTTCTCTGGGATGCAAATTATTAGGTCCTGGGGATTTGTCAATTGTTAACCCCATTAATTTCTCTAGTATCTTTTTAAAATTAATGCTGATTTTCTTCAAATCCTCCTCACCAGACCTTTGGTTCCCTAACATTTCTAGGAAATTATTTGTGACCTTGTTTGAGAAGACAGAACCAACATATATGTTCAAGTCTTCTGTCAATTATTTATTCCTCATTATAATTTCCCTGATGCACTAACTAAATATTCAACTATTCAATTCAATTCTTTTGAAGGGCTTTGAATTTTTTTTAGCCAGCGGACAATTCCATGTTTTTTCCTATCTCCTACCCTGAAGTTTATATCAGTGGCAATGACATTTTCTGTTAGCTAATTGAAAAGTCATTCCCTGTTTGAGTTAAAATTCTTTGTGGAAAATCGCAGCAAAATTGCAAATCAGTACATTTTCAGAGCAGATAGTTTAGGAAAATTTGTTTTTGTTGATCTCTATTCAAATGCATTCCCGTGTACTGACTGCAGCAAGTTCGTAGGAAAGTGAAAAGCCAGCAGTTTCAAACAGTTTTTTTTAGATCTTTTGCAATTAGTTCTGAAACAACTTTACTGTTTTCCTGCCTTTTTCAGTGTTTCATCCCCAGTTGAAATTTAGAGTCGGAAGTGTTTGATGTCCATGGCTATGTATGATGAAGATATTTCAAGAAACCCCTTCTATTTAGCACTTCAGAAGCAGAAACCTGATGTATTCAACCATGTAGCAGAATTGCACGGGATTGTGAGTATCATATCAACATTTTTGTAAATAAACTTGAACTGATTTACATTTTGTTTTGATTAATTCTACTCCAATTCAAACTGGGATACATTGCATATTGTGTATTTTGTCACCTAGTGCTGTCATCATATGTTGTCTGAGTGTAGCACAGATGGAGATTAAAGACCTGCTGGTCTGTGTTTCAACCTGCCCTGCTGCCCCAATCTGCATTTCAAACTTTCCACACGTGTTTTGGCTTCTTTGCTCAAAACTATTGACTTGATAGTATTTGATTTAGCGTCAGCTACTTCACTGGGCAAGGAATTCCATAGATTAACAACCCTCTGGGTGAAGAAATTCCTTCTCAATTCAGTCCTAAATCTGCTCCCTCTAATCTTGAGGCTATGCCCTCTTGTCCTAGCTTCACCTGCCAGTGGAAACATCCTCTCTACTTCTATTTTATCTATTCCCTTCGTAATTTTATATGTTTCTATAAGATCACCTCTCAATCTTCTGAATTCCAATGAATATAATCCCAATCTACTCAGTCTCTCCTCATAAACCAACCCCCTCAACTCCGGAATCAACCTAGTGAACTTCTTTTGCACCCCCTCCAGTGCCAATACATCCTTTTTCAAGTAAGGAGACCAAAACTGCACACAGTACTCCAGGTGTGGCCTCACCAGCACCTTGTACAGCTACAACATAACCTCTCTGCTTTTAATTTCAATCCGTTTAGCAATGAAGGACAAAATTCCATTTGCCTTCCTAATTACTTGTTGTACCTGCAGACCTACCTTCTGTGATTCATGCACAAGGACACCCAGGTCCCTCTGCATAGCAGCATGCTGCAACTTTTTACCATTCAAGTAATAATCCTTTTTACTATTACTCCTACCAAAATGTATGACTTCACATTTATTTACATTGTATTCCATCTGCCAGACTTTTGCCCACTCACTCAATGTATCTATGTTCCTCTGCAAAGTTTCACAGTCCTCTGCACACTTTGCCCTGCCGCTCATCTTAGTGTCATCTGCAAACTTTGACACCCTACACGTGGTCCCCAACTCCAAATCATCTATATAAATTGTAAATAATTGCAGTCCCAACACCGATCCCTGAGGCACACCACTAGTCACTGACTGCCAGCTAGAATAGCACTAATTTATCCCCACTCTTTGCTTCCTGTTAGTCAACCAATCCTCTATCCATGCTAATACTTTACCCTTAATGCCATGCATCCTTATCTTATGTAGTAGCCTCTTGTGCGGCACCTTGTCGAAGGCCTTTTGGAAATCTAGGTACACCACTTCCACGGGTCTCCATTGTCCACCTCACTCGTAATGTCTTCATAGAATTCCAAAAGATTTGTCAAGCATGATCTCCCCTTCATGAACCCATGCTGCGTCTGCCCAATGGGACAATTTCTATCAAGATGCCTTGCTATTTCTTCCTTGATAATAGACTCAAGCATCTTCCCCACTACAGAGGTTAAGCTAACCGGTCTATAATTCCCCATCTTTTGTCTACTTCCCTTTTTAAACAGTGACGTCACATTTGCTGTTTTCCCATTTGCTGTTTTCCAATCTGCTGGGACTGCCCCAGAGTCCAGCGAATTTTGGAAAATTACCGCCAGCGCACCTGCTATTTCTCCCGCCATCTCTTTTAGTACCCTGGGATGCATTCCATCAGGGCCAGGAGACTTATCAATCCTTAACTCCATTAGCTTGCCCAACACTACCTCTTCCGTAATAATGATTGTTTCCAGGTCCTCACCTACCTTCGTCTCTTTGTCAATTACTGGCATGTTATTAGTGTCCTCCACTGTGAAGACCGATACAAAATACCTGTTCAATGCCTCGGCCATTTCATCATATCCCATAACTAAATTCCCCTTCTCAAGCTCTAAAGGGCCAATGTTTACTTTTTCGTTTTATGTATTTATAGAAACTTTTGCTATCTGTCTTTATATTCTGTGCTAGTTTTTTCTCATGTTCTATCTTACTTTTCTTTATAGCTCTTTTTGTGGCTTTCTGTTGACCTTTAAAGTTTTCCCAATCTTCTAGTTTCATGCTGTTTTGGCCACTTTGTATGCCTTCTCTTTCAATTTCATAGCTTCCCTTATTTCTTTAGACACCCATGGCAGATTACCCCTTTTCTTGCAGTCCTTCCTTTTCATTGGAATATACTTTTGCTGAGCACTTTGAAAAATTGCTTTGAAAGTCCTCCACTGCTCATCGACTGTCCCACCATAAAATCTTTGTCTCCAGTCTACTTTAGCCAAGTCCTCCCTCATTCTATTGTAGTTCCCCTTGTTCAAGCACAGGACCCTGGTATTGGATTTTGTCTTCACACTCTCCATCTGTATTCTAAATTCAACCAAGAGGATCCCTAACGATGAGGTCATTAATTATTCCTGTCTCATTACACAGGACCAGATCTAGGATAGCTTGCTCCCTCGTCGGTTCCATTACATACTGTTCAAGAAAACTATCACGGATACACTCAACGAACTCCTCCTCAAGGCTACCCTGACCGAGCTGGTTTGACCAATCTACATGTAGATTAAAATCCCCCATGATAATTGCCGTACCATTTTTACAGGCATTAGTTATTTCTTTGTTTATTGCCCGCCCCAATGTGATGTTATTATTTGGTGGCCTATAGACTACGCCTGTCAGTGACTTTTTCCTCTTAGAATTTCTAATTTCCACTCACATGGATTCAACCTCATTCTCCATAAAACCTATATCATCTCTCAGCACCGCCCTGATGGCGTCCTTGAATATCAGAGCTACACCACCTCCCTTACCTCCCTGTCTGTCCTTTCCGAATAGTCTGGTACCCTTGGATATTTAACTCCCAGTCGTGACCATCCTGTAACCATGTCTCCGTAATGGCTACCAAATCATATTCATTCGCGATGATTTGTGCCGTTAATTCATCAACCTTGTTACGAATGCTACGAGCATTCAGGTAAAGTGCCTTTATGCTAGCTTTCTTACCCTCATGATTTCCAACATCTCTAATAATATCTCCTGAGTTATCCTTCCTTTTTGCTTCTTTCATAGTCTGCCTTAAACTTAAACCCTCCTGCACACATGCTAACCTGCTGCTTACCTTTTTATTTACCATCATACTCCCTGTTGTTTTCCCTTTCCCTTCCCCCCCCAACTCACTAGTTTAAAGTCCTAGTGACCACCCTATTTATCCTTTTTGCAAGAACACTGGTTCCAGATCGGTTCAGGTGGAGACCGTCCCATCAGATCCCTCCGGTTCCAAAACTGATGCCAATGCCCCATGAAATGGAACCCCTCTTTTCCACACCACTCCCTTAGCCACGTGTTTACTTCCCTAATTTTCTTATCCCTAAGCCAATTTGCACGTGGCTCGTGCAGTAATCCGGAGATTATGACCCTCGAGGACCTGTTCCTTAGTTTTGTTCCTAGTGCTTGATAATTCCCAAACAGGTCCTCCATCATAGCTTGCCTATGTTGTTAGCCCCAACGTGGACCACAACAACTGGATCCTCCCCTTCTGCTCCAATATCCTTTCAAGCCGGTCAGAGATGTCCTGCACCCTGGCACCGGGCAGGCAACACACCATGCGGGACTCCCGATCCGGCTTGCAAAGGATACTATCTATCCCCCTAACTATAGAATCCCCTGTAACTACCACTTGTCTTTTTGCTCCCCCCCTCTTGAATGGCCTTCTGCACCATGGTGCCGTGGTGAGCTGGCTCTTCCTCCCCGCAGCCCTTTTCCTCATCCACACAGAGCAAGTATCTCGTACCTGTTGGATAAGGTCAAAAGCTGAGGCTCCTCCACTCCTGAACTCAGGATCCCCCTACCTGCCTCACTTGCAGTCACACCCTGTTGTCCCTGATCACTAACTGAATTTGAATTACTTAATCTACCAGGTGTGACTGCCTCCTGAAACAAAGCGTCCAGGTAAATCTTCCCCCTCCCGGATGTGCCGCAGTGTTTGAAGCTCAGATTCCAGATCTTCAACTCTGAGCCGGAGTTCTTCCAGCAACCAACACTTGCTGCAGATGTGGTCACTGCCGTTCACAATGGGATCAGCCAGCTCCCACATCATACAGCTACAGCACATCACCTGCCCAGCCATCTCTACTTAGTTAATTACTTTATATCAATTTATGAGTTAAATACTTCTCTGCTATGGTCCTTTCAAATAACCAATTAATAGATAAATAAAAAAAGAAAGTAAATTTTTAACCAATTATACAATACAGAAGAAATAGAAAAAGTATAAAAACCTTACCTTACCAACACACCACAGAGTCCTTTTTTTTTTTGGTTAGAGGAGGAGGGCGGGTGGGAGACACTACACGTTTAGTGTCGCGGGTTCAGCCGCTGCCCAAATATATTCCCGGCAGCCCCCTGGTCCTCGCTGTCGCCTCTCCCTCTGCTGCTGAAAAATGAAGGCCGCTGACGCTCGAGGTAAGTCCTTTAAAGAGGGAAAACTATGTTTTTATTTTTGTGCAGCTACTGGAGTTTTTAACTCTTTATTAATCCACCCTACAATGAGTTGGGCTAGGGAGTCAGAAATTAAAATGTGATGCATGTGTCCCCAAGCTGCTGTATGTGCACTCAGTGAGTTCTGAGTTGTGCAAGTACACTTTAGTGAGGGGGTGATGCACTACATCAAAATATTTAAATCAGCCACCCACAGTACAATTATGACTTGGATTCTAAATTTAGCAGTTGCCTTGCAGTTTTCTCGTGGTTTGCGAATCCTGGTAGAGAGAGAGAGAAGTATGAGCTGTTTGTTAGTGAAGGTAAATTTGTTTTACAGCATCCCTTGAGTGCAGGGAGGGGAAGGATTACTGTTCCATTCATGAAAAAATGTTTGCCCAAACCCTGATATTGCACATTCTCATCTCTTCCTAATTCCTGGGATTCTTCCTCAGAAGTTTTTTTTTTAATATTGTGCCCAGTGGATAAGGAAGTATTGTGATCCTCTAGCCAGCTTTGAGGAAATGTTGGACAGGCTAG